CCCCCACTCCCACCACCACCACCAAAATAACACTGCAGCTGTGCAGCCCCAGCCCCAGCCCCAGAGTAAGGAGGGAGGGGCGTGGCGGTGGTTAATGGGAAGATTGTCAGGCGGATGGTTCACACACCCGGCACTAGTTCGGGCAAGTGGCACCTCCTCTCTGGATGCCCTGGAGCTGGGGCTTCCCCCTGCTCTGACTTTCCCCGATTCCCAGCCTCTGAGCTCTTTTCCTCTTCGTGACCATGGACTTGCTCTAATGGCCTGGGTGACCTTGAACAAGTCACGTCAGCTTTCTGGGCCTCTTTCCTCCTCTAACACGACCAGGTTGGGCCGGGCTGTCCAGCCTCCCAGTGAACCTGATCCTGGTGTCCCAGCTCTGTGTGGACCATGACTGGGGGGCCCGGGATGGCCCGGCACCTGCCCAGTGTGGAATGAGACACCTGGAAGGGGTAACCGAGAAACCCCGCAAAGCTAAGGGCACACCACCCCCTTCACAGGGAGCATCCTCAGTAGTAGCAGTGGCTGGAGGGCTGGACAACTCTGATGCACAAGCAAGCTGCTGACCTCCGCACTCCCTGGCTCTCCTGCCAGCACCCAAAGGTGCAGAGGAACACCCCTGGCGACAGGCCGCCCTGTGCCCCTGCCTGGAACCTGTGGGACACTCCAGCACCCGCCATTGCCGAGCCCAAATGCCGCCTCTCACTACAGCCTATTGGACCGTCTCCAAGTGGCCCCCAGACCCAAATGCATCCCACAACCTGAGAGCCCTGGGAAGGGAAGAGAAGGGCAGTGCTACCCGGGGAATGGGCTGTGTGTTCATTGTCAGGGCATCTGGGAAAGCTTGTTCCCCACTTCTCTAGCAGGGCCTAGAGAAATCAACAAAAAGAGAATGGGCGCATTCCTGGGCTGTAGCACGCTCCGCAGCGCCCGTGTAAAAACCAGAGGGGCAGGGGCATGGGCAGCCCTTTGCAGCTGGGTTATCTGCTCAGCAGAGGTCTCCCCTGAGGTCAGGAGCTCAGCAGCGTCTCCTGGCCAGGCCTCGGCCCCTACTATGGGACTCCCTGAACCCCGCACTCAGCCGGCCCCGGCCTGGGACCTGAGCCTCGGAGCAGCGCCATCTCCCGGGTCACCTGACGAAGCCGGCTTTCCCCTGTTCATGCTGCAAACCTCCTCGGCTGGAACCGGCCGTCGTGAGCTTCTCGCCGCTTCCCAAGGCAAAGCGCCTCGTCTCCATGCGGTCGCCTGTGGTGACACACGCAGTGCAGTTTCTCTATTTGCCCAGGTGGCTTTGGCTCAAGTGGCATGGCCGGTGCTTGTCCCCCTCGGAGCCTCAAGTGCCTACAATGTGCTGCCCCGCCCCCTTGCCTGCTCACCCATAATGTTCCCCTGGAGCCTGTGACACTTGGTCTTGGAATACACCTCGCCTTTCTGCCCGGTAGCCAGTTAGGTGGGCATCGTGGAAGGCCTGGACATCAGCCAGCTAACGTCCACCGAAAGCTGGCAAATCCCATCCCAGGCCACGTGAGTGTGTGTGTTCTCAGAGGAATGGCTTGCTTGTAAGTGGTGGCTACTGTTCTCGTAGAGGCTTTTAGCTCATAAAAACCGTTGGACGTGATGATGTGACAAAATTACACGTGTCTGCTCTTCTGTTCTCGGAGCTCAGACTTGACGTTAGACGAGGGGTCCAGCCATCTGCTCGCCCATGGGGTCACACCTGACTTGGTTCGGATTTCCCCAGGGACTGAGGTCGGGAGGTCCCAGGATGTGGGAGTTTCCAGTTTTAAAACTGGGGCGATCCGGGAGAAATCAGGACAAGCTGGTCAGTGGTTCCCCCAGAAGCAGAGCCTGCGATAAGGATTCAGTGCAGATGGTGTGTTGTGTGACCCCAGGAAACACTCCAAGGCAAGTGAGGCCGTGGAACAGCGACAGGAGCCACACCGATAAAGGGCGTGTCACCAAGCAGGTCACTCCCATGGGTGTGCACCATCTCTGGGGAACTCCTGGGAAGGAATGGGGGTGGGGACTACCCATTCCACTCAGTCACTGGGTGAGGGTCACCCAGGCCATTCATTCCAGGGCGCTCTGGCTGCCACCGGCGGCGCAGCAGCCGAGCTGGCCTCTGCAGTTAGAGGAAAGCCCCGGGCAGAGACGCACAGGTCCTGGCCGGTGGCCAGCCCACGCGCAGAGGGGAAACAAGCTGAGGGGGCTGGCAGCACGTGCTCCAGCGACTTGGCGGAGCTGCTTCCCACAGTTGGGATGTTTCTCAGAAGCAATTAGTGAGCACAAAGGATGCTTATGTGCAAATCATCCCCAGTCACCAGTCTGCCTCCCACACACGCTGATCTCAAAATCAAACACAAGGCTCATCTGGAAATCCTTCGGCAGCTCACCTTGTTTCCTCAGAATCAGTCCTCACTTTGCAGCCTTCAGGAAGATAGGAATTCCCCACAGGCCCAAAACATGGCCTCGGTGTGCTACCAGCTCCGAGGAGAATCATTCGGGGAGCCAGGAGGCTGAGACTAAAAGGTCACAGTGAGATACTGTGCGCAGGCCTGGCCCTCGTGGGTGATCTTCGCCGGGCAATGGCTTTCACTGAGATGGACAAGTCCTTTCTCTGACCCCCGCCCTGTCCTCCAGCTCTGGGCCGCTGGAGGAACTGAAGTCCTTTCAACACCTCACTGATGTACAGGAGCTGGTACGACCTCCACTTCTGTAAGAAACTCACTGCTTTGTTTTCTCCCATTGTGCATCCTGTACAAGGCGTGTGTGTGGGGGGGGGGGTGTGGGTGTGTGTGTGTGCGTGCGCACGTCCTGCTGGGATGGCAATAGGGTCTCCTAGACCTTCACACCATGCAAAACATCCTCAGAAAAGCAGAGGCTCCGCACTGGACACTCTCTAGGAGGAGCGAGTGAAGTGATCCCGGTGGTTCGGGTCTCTGGGTCTCCTGCACCTCTGTCCTATGGTGGTCAGTCCGCTCCAGTCACAGCCGGCCCCCTGGGAAGCCTGGGCTCCCTTGGCTCGAGTAATCTTTACCCTGGTCTGAAATGGGGGCCGAGTCCAGCCTCGCTCTGCGGCTCTCTGGGTCTGCCATCCAGCAGCAGTCGTCCCCGTCCCCACCTGAGCATCACCTAGAATCTGCTATCCATGAATCCGTCCTTCCTGGAAGCATCCAGACCACCCACCCAGAGTCCAGCCAGCCCAGGTCCAGG